GGTCTATATGAACCAATGATGTGGGCGAGGCTTGGATTTTGATTTTGATCTTAGATTGTTCCATATGAATGTGTTTGAAGATAACTAGATTGTGTTTTAACAGTATGGTTTAAGTTGTTCTTAATCTATGCTTCCCTGTTCTTAGATTCTACGTTTGCTGTATGTCAGATGAAATGCTTGTTTCGGGTTTGAATTAGGTTAGTTACTTGTAGGAGAAACTCCAAGGACTAAATGAATCTTTCTTTTTCTCTTTTGGTGCATTTAATTGGTTGCAGGTGCCTCCATCTATTAATTGTAGGTTGCTTGAACATCAAAGAGAAGGAGTCATGTTCTTGTATGGTTTATACAAGAACGGACATGGAGGCATTCTTGGAGATGACATGTATGTATAAATATAAGTTTACTTGTCTTAGTTCTTTTTGTTTCATATGTTCTTCAATGTACCAAAATATGCCCCGTAACTTGATATTGTGCGATCCCACCTCGGTTAGAGAGGGGAGCGAAGCCCTCTTTATAAGGGTGTGGAAACCTCTCCCTAGCAAACACGTTTTAAAAACTTTGATGGGAAGGCTGAAAGGGAAAACTCAAAGAGGGCAATATCTACAAGTGGTGGGCTTGGGCTGTTAAAGTTGGTATTAGAGCTAGACATTGGGCAGTGTACCAGCGGGACATTGAGCTCCGAAGGGGGTGGACACCGGACGGTGTGCCAGCAAGGATGTTGGACCTTAAAGGGGGGTGGATTGTGAGATCCCACATCGGTTGGAAAGAGGAACGAAGCCCCCTTTATAAGGGTGTGGAAACATCTCCTTAGCAAACATGTTTTAAAACCTTAAAGGGAAGCTGGAAAAGGAAAGCCCAAAAGAGGACAAAATCTACTAGCAGTGGACTTGGGCGGTTACAGATATGTTCCATGTCTCAGTTGACATTTGTTCTTTTTGTCGAACCATTCCATTCTAATGGAAAAGAAAGGGGAATGAAGATGTCTGAAGTGAGGCATTTAAAAACACGCTGATGAATGAGACTCTTGTACCTCCAGAAATTTAGATTTAGAAGTATCCAACTTCTAACTTTTGTTCGTTATAACAGAACGTCAATTTAGAGTTAGAAGTAAGCAAGAGTGTTGTTAGACTTATGTAATTACGTTAGATTTTAATGTTCGACTAAATACACGTAGTACTTGTGAATGATGCCCATGTGGATCGAACTTCGCAACTTTTACTTTCTTGTCTGAAATATTTATAATTTTGGTGCTCCAACGTAATCGTTGCTCATATTCTGAAATGGCATCAGGGGGCTTGGAAAAACTATTCAAACTATTGCTTTCCTGGCTGCTGTATATGGCATAGATGGAGATGGAATCCATAAGGAAATTTGTGGAAAGAAAAAGGGCCCTGTACTAATAGTATGCCCCACTTCAGTAATCCATAATTGGGAGAATGAGTTCTCCAAATGGGCAAACTTCAGTGTTGCAGTCTACCATGGGGCAAACCGCGAGTTGATTCATGATAAACTAGAAGCAGGCGCTGTCGAGATACTTATCACTAGCTTTGATACGTACAGAATCCGTGGTGGTATTCTTTCAGAGGTCACATGGGAGATTTTGATCATTGACGAGGCTCATCGGCTTAAGAATGAGAAATCGAAACTCTATAGTGCATGTGCAGGAATAAAAACCTTGAAGCGCTTTGGTCTTACTGGAACTATAATGCAGAATAAGATTATGGAACTGTTCAATCTCTTTGATTTGGTTGCACCTGGATCATTAGGTACTCGGGAGCATTTCCGTGAGTTCTACGATGAACCCCTTAAGCATGGCCAAAGATCAACTGCTCCTGAAAGATTTATAAGGATTGCAGATAAGAGAAAACAATATTTAGCCACAATTCTTAGAAAATATATGCTAAGAAGGACAAAGCAAGAGACTATTGGGCATCTTATGTTGGGAAAGGAAGATAATGTTTTATTCTGCGCCATGAGCGAACTACAAAAACGGGTTTATAGAAGAATGTTACAGCTACCAGATATCCAATGCCTTATCAATAAAGACCTTCCTTGTGGCTGTGGGAGCCCTCTCACGCAAGCAGAGTGTTGCAAAAGGACTGTACCAGATGGAATTATCTGGCCTTACCTTCATAGAGACAACCCAGAGGGTTGTGATTCATGCCCCTTCTGTATCGTTCTCCCGTGTCTCGTCAAGCTTCAACAGGTAAATATCTTTTTCACTTATCATCTCACCATTATAATTGTTGCTTGATCGATGTGATTCGCATGTTCTCTTTCAGATAAGTAATCATCTGGAGCTGATTAAACCAAATCCTAAGGATGATCCTGATAAACAAAGGAGAGATGCAGAATTTGCTTCCAAAGTGTTTGGCGCCGACATTGATCTTGTTGGAGGCAGCGCTCAGAATGAGAGCTTCATGGCCCTTAGTGATGTCAGACATTGTGGAAAAATGCGTGCTTTGGAGAAACTATTTTCCTCTTGGATTTCACAGGGCGACAAGATTCTTCTATTCAGCTACTCTGTCAGGTTATATGCTTCACTGCTCTGTCAGTTCCTCACTCCTTACCAGTATCTGATGCTTAATAGCCATTTTCAGGATGCTGGACATACTGGAGAAGCTACTTGTACGTAAAGGTTATTCCTTCTCGAGACTCGATGGCTCCACTCCAACCAACTCGCGTCAAACTCTTGTTGATGACTTCAACTCAAGTCCAAGCAAGCAGGTAAGTACTGAACCTTAAAAGTTGAACCTAGTAGCTTCAATATTGGTGATATTTCCAACATGTTTTTTCAGGTGTTCCTAATATCTACTCGAGCTGGTGGCCTTGGACTGAACCTTGTCAGTGCAAACAGAGTGGTGATCTTCGATCCAAATTGGAATCCTGCCCAAGACTTGCAGGCACAGGACAGGTCATTTCGGTTTGGGCAGAAGCGGCATGTTGTCGTTTTTCGCCTGCTTGCTGCTGGTTCATTAGAAGAACTTGTATACTCTCGTCAAGTATACAAGCAGCAGTTATCGAACATTGCTGTCTCGGGGAAAATGGAGAAGCGATATTTCGAAGGCGTTCAGGTAAGTTCTTCATTTGTGAGTTCGGATTTTATGGTTAAAAGTTAAGTCCCCACTTAATGCTTGTGATTCTCCCATTTTTAAGGATTGTAAAGAATTCCAAGGTGAGCTTTTTGGCATCTGCAATTTGTTCTCAGATCTCTCCGACAAGCTCTTCACTAGTGAGATCATTGAGATGCATGAGGGACGAGAAACAAAAGAAGGGCACGCCCCGAACCCGAATCAGAACATCTCCAAGGCTGGTAGTTCTGTTCTTTTTAAAGAAACCGACGCAGTCGGTTCTATAGAAACCCGAAAGCCAACTCATCCAGGGAAAACTGCCACAATTAAACCTATGCTTGAAGACTTGGGTAAGATCCCAGCTTACTTTATCAGCATATTTGGACGTCATAAACATGAAGTGTGGTCTTGTTTCATAAATCTGTTGAGTTTGTTAAGAGACATGCAATTCTTATAATGAAGAGCATCGGTTCGCAGGTGTCGTATATGCACATAGGAACGAAGACATAGTCAATTATGGATCGGGAGCGCAAGAAAAAATGGCATTGCCAACGACAGAAGATTGTGCACTCGGGCAGCCACGCGTTCCTGTGATAAAGAAGAGAAAACTGGATAATATTGGTGAGAAAGATGCTGGTTTCTCGTCAACCATGGATCGGAAGAAGATCCAATATCGAAAGCTTGCTGGATTCAAGGGAATGGGGGAGCTGGAATTCAGCAAGTGGCTACTATGTGCAACTCCATTGCAGAGGGAGAAAGTACTTGAAGACTACAAGAAGAGAAAGGAGAAGATACCAAATGGCTGAGGTCGCTCTTCAAATGCAGGTTTCATCTGTCTCTTTGTACAAATTAGTCATAGTTTAGCTGATGTAGAGAATCAGGTTAGTTGTAATAAGACTAGACCAAGATAATAAAGAACCCCTGAATTTAAGTCTAATATTTCGTTCACTTTGAGCACCGAACTAGACCGACAATACTAACTTTTCGTTCACTTTTTCTAATATTTCTAGTATCAACTAATTCATTCGGGCGAGACATCGTAAGATGTCATGATGCCCATTCCTTTGACGATTCCTTTAATCCTTCCAGCTCTCGGGAGTCTCTCCAGGAGCTGGTAACCGGAGAGGGAGTGGCGCTAAACGTGACTATGGTATGGAAGAGTGGGAAATAGGAGGAGGTAAAGATATAGAAAATAATATATATATTACTTTATTCTATGTTTTTTTTTTGAGTACTTATTCTTCAATAATTTTCAAAAATAAAAATTTAATATATATCGAAACTTAATTAAAATTTTAATTCAATACTAATAAATAAATATATTTTTTAACTATTAATATTATATTTTTATGAGAAGTAAAATTTTAATACAAATATTTTATGTATGGGTTGAATTTATTATTTAAAAGAATTTACTAACTCAACCATGGTTGAGTCTAGAAAAATCATCTTAACCCGACTCCCTGGCCCAAACCCAATAGTACACCGGGCCCACAATTGTAATACGATATTTAGCGATGCAATTTGCATATAAAAATTGGAACTTTCTTCCATAATCTGAACATTTAGCTTAAGAAAGGAAAAGTATTTGACCACCGAAGAAGCGAACATTATTTGGGCAGTCAAACCCATTGGCCGACTAATCCATCCAGCTTCACATCGATCAAAGAGAAAGTCCCAAGATATATAATAATCAAGTAATAAATTACTGTATTTGTAGACGAATTCCGAGGCTTTGTAACTTTTGTGCAGGGCTCGAATGTACTCTTTAAGTAATTCTGGATCAGAAAAATCGTCTGGGTGAACTCCAGGGCTTCGATTTTGACTTGGCTCTTGCTTCACAAGCTTTGTTAGTCGTTCAGCTTTCACCATCTGTATCCGACTGTGGGTGTCGTGCTTCTTGGTGGTGGTTCTTGTGTTTGACTCCATTTGAAGCAACCCAATTATCTTTTAACCTCTGTGCTCTAATGGGTTTTGTTGTATTTCTCTTGGGTTTCTGTCGCCGATTGGAATCATTCCGATTTATGGTTAATAATTGGAGTTGAATTTTAGGCGTTTTTTCCTGATATGATGAGCAGAGATGGTTTTGGTTGTTCGGAGTACCAGAGAAGTGGATTTGGATGTTTTTCCAGAACTATTTTTGCTTTGTGGGCTGTTCATATTTTTTTGGTTTTTCAGCCTGTGGATGGTCTGAGACCATTGCGGGAGAGGGCTCGATCATGGGGCGATGAGGTTTGTAGAGTTCATTTTTTCCTTTTGAGTTTATCAATTTTGTTTGATTATGTTCGTTGAAAATTCAGTATAGTCTTGTGTGTTGAAAATTTGATTACCCATATTCGTTGCAATTTGACTTGATTTCTTGAGCTTTTGATGATTCCTGCTTTCTTCGAAATGTCTCAATAAGCTGCAGAAGCATGAGTTGTTTGAGGGATTGTTTTCTGAAAATAGCTTTTGAACGACTTACAACTATATCTAGAAGTGTGAGATCCCACATTGATTGGAGAGGTGAACGAAACATTCCTTTTAAGGGTGTGGAAACTTTTCCCTAGCAGATGTATTTTAAAACTGTGAGGCCGATAGCGATACATAACATGCTAAAATGAACAATATTTGCTAGCGGTGAGCTTGGGCCGTTATAAGAAGTTCGTTATTTGGACAAAGCATTGGGAAAGTGGCAACGTTGCATCAAAATCTAGGGACCGGCCTACTTGCTTGTGCTAAACTTTCCCATACGCAATTTGGAAACCAAATGTCATATTTAGAGACTCAGCTTAGCTTTTGTGGATATCAGTTCTTAGCCTCAGGCATACAACTACCCAACGCCTCTTTATCCTCTATTGATAGGATTTCAGTTCTTTTATAGCATTTAGCTTCTCCATTTAATTAAGTCTAAACATTTCCTTTTCAAGAGGTATGGTTTCTTCATGTCTTAATGTGTTTATGGATATACATATGTATATATAATTGCATGGATTCTATATGTTAATATGTTATAGTGATATGATATTTTTCTTGTTTGCAGTGGTTGTTTGTAAGAAAAGATAAGAGTGATTTGGGTCCATTTTCTGAATGGAATATTACAGGAACATATAGAGGTTTGTACTTATCCTTCATGGTATAACGATCTTATCATATTAAGTGTCAACTATTGTAAGAACTAACTTATTGCATGGAAATGTAAATTGCAGGCAGTTGGAGTTTTCTAGATTCCAAAAATAACTCTTCCAGGTTTCCAGATTTCAGAAACTCCAATGGCAATTCAATCATTGAATTAATTAGTACACCAACCAAAATATCTGGTGTTCATTATGTTCAGGTGAGGACATTCAATGTTAATGAAAAGGTTAGACCATTCAACTGTGTCTTGTGTAGATGCTGTAGAGACAGATGTGAATATGTAGTTATGTGCTTGATAGATTATTGCAAACATTCTGCCTTGATGTACTACCATATATGTAGTGAGTGGATGGTTAGAAAGACCAAGATAGCCTAAGCCCGCTACTAGCAGATACTGTTCTCTTTGGGCTTTCCCTTTCGGGCTTCCTCTCAAGGTTTTTAAAACGCGTCTACTAGGGGGAGATTTCCATACCCTTATAAAGAATATTTGGTTCCCCTCCCCAACCGATGTAGGATCTCACAATCTATCCCCTTTTGGGGCCCGACGTCCTTGCTGGCACTCATTCCCTTCTTCAACCGATGTTGGACCCCCCAAATCCACCCTCTTCAAGACCCAGCGTCATTACTGGCACACCGCCTGGGCTTAGCCTCCTCGCTGGCACATCGCCCGGTGTTTGGCTTTGATACCATTTGTAATAGCCCAAGCCCACCGCTAGCGGATATTGTCCTCTTTGAGCTTTTTCTTTCGAGCTTCCTCTCAAGTTTTTAAAACGCGTATGCTAGGGAGAATTTTCCACAATGTTATAAATAATGCTTTGTTCTCCTCCCAACCGATGTGGGATCTCACATTTCTTTTCTGTATGCATCATACATTTGTGCTTGTACCTCAAGGGTTTAGATGATATTGATTTATGTCAATTTGTTTATTCTATCCACCTTTATTTATCACATCATTTTTTATCTGGAGCTTGTTTAATGTCTTTTAATAATTTGCTGATAACAGGGGGTTGTTATTTTTCATGATGTAATTGGTAATGAACATGATGTTAGTGGAGTTCAAATTAAGGTCGAGGGTGTATATATTTGGCCTTTTAGACAGCTTCGGATGGTTGCTAACAGGTAAACTTTCCAGTCTTCATATTCTTGGTATGCACTTTTTACAACATTGTGAGGGAGGGTTGCTAAATGTCTCCAATTTCTCTCAGTTCATCCTTATTTTACTGCTGTTTCTCTAGGTTTATCATAGCGGTGGTTTTTAAAGCCGTTCTACTTCTGTTCTTCGAAAATTTATCGCAATCTTAGTCTCGTTTTCTATTTACAGTGGAAAAGGAGGAGAATATGAGCAAGAAGTTGACAGTATCTTATCGAATCCTTATCATTTAGTAAGTCTTTCTCTTTGGAATATGAATGCCGTTTATCTTGAAATAATACATTCGATTTCATCACGCGAGTCGTTTTTACTGATGAAGCTTCTAAATAACTTCTTAACAGCTTGGAGTTTTCTCCTCCCAGGTGCTCCAAGAATCACCACAGGATAAGATGTGGAAAAGAAGCCACTGTAATTTTCTATGTCTTGGACTTCAACCCACTTTCAATTATGTGGGTACTGATTTTGTCTTGCCTTATTGCAGCACCAATTTATGAAATGGAGAAGCATTGCAATATCGAAATAGCAGCTCAAATTTCACATTTATCTTCTGCACAAAATGGTACTTTATGTCTCAGCGTTTGATTCGTGCTTTCTTATCTGCACAAAAGGCATTATTATTCTTTTAGTTTTTCATAAGAAAGGCAATATTGTGTGTGCGTAGCTATATTTGTTTTGCCCATTATATAAGAACTTGCCAATGGAGAGTATTTATGTAACTTGCCATGGCAAATGTCTTGCATTTTCGATATGTAATGGGCCAAAGCGGACAACATCTGCTAGCAGTGGCCTTGAGTTGTTACAAATGGTATCAGAGCTAGACATCAAGCAGTGTGCCAACGAGGATGTTGGACCCTCAAGGGGGGTGGATTGTGAGATTCCACATAGGTTGGAAAGGAACGAAGTATTCCTTATAAGGGTATGGAAACCTCTCCCTAGTAGACGTGTTTTAAAACCGTGAGCCTGATGGTGATACGTAACGGGCCAAAGCGGACAATATCTGCTAGTGGTGGGCTTGAGTTGTTACAAATGGTATTAGAGCCAGACACCTGGTGATGTGCCAGCGAGGACGCCGGACCCCCAAGGGGGGTGGATTGTGAGATTCCACATAGGTTGGAGAAGGGAATGAAGTATTCCTTACAAGGGTGTGAAAACCTCTTCCTAGTAGATGTGTTTTAAAACCGTGAGATTGACGGTGATACGTAACGAGCCAAAACAGACTGTATCTACTAGCGGTGGGCTTGAGCTGTTACATGTATGAACGAACACTAGGTTTAAAAGAGCATGTAACAGGGACTCCTGCTGTAGATTCCTTTATTCTTAATCTTTTCCTTTTTCTTAACTTCTCTTGTTATTCGGGTTTTCACCTTTGGACTTATATATCTCGCAGGAAACGGAGAACGTGACCATTACCATATCGAAGGATTAATGGAGAGTCCTGCAGTAGATGATGATGGAGATTGCTTTTCTCCCTTGGCGTTAAATGCCACTTCTGTCAACATCGAAATCTACTACAACAAAGCAGTGAATTACACCTTAATGGTCACTTTTGTATCCTTTTTATGATTGTTGGATCTTTTCCTTACATTATACATTGGATATCATGAAAATATATATGTTTCGATCGGATTTCTTAACGAAACTTCATTAGGTCTCTTTCCTTCAAGTACTTCTCTTAATCCGGCAAATGGAACATAGTAACACTCAATCTGTAAGAACTTTTACTTGCAGCTCTCATGGATTCTGATATGGTTGATGTTCGGATTTTGATACCGTACTTATCCATCTATATTGTGCAGGGTGCTGCCAAAGTTTCGATACTAATGATCGGGCAACAAGCTATTATGGATGCTTATCTATGTCTGCTGCATCTGACAGCAGGAATATTAGTCGGTGAGTTTAAATTAAATTACGATCGGGCAACGGGATTCTATCTTGTCTGAAGAGTTTCTTTGATAATGTGTCTTCCCTACCCGAAACAAGACGTTCTGTAGTCTCTGTATGTTTTACATTGCCATATCAGACACATAGAACTTTATAAGTTGAAGTTGCTACTTAACATAAATTAGAAATCTTCCAAGTGTAGAGATCATCGTTCCGTTGCGTGTGGTAACCCCTCGTGATTTGGATCATTTCTGGTCGTAGTTTGATTTAGCCTCTGTTATTTGTGTGTAGTTTAACGTTTTATATCAATTATCGTCAGTTTTGTTCCAGTAAACCTTATTAAGTTTACCTTGCTGCTGGCTGTCCTTTTCTCAGAATCGTTATTTAATGCTTTTGCAACTGCTGCGTTTTTCAAGTTCGTCGTGTTCTCGATTTTTGAGATGAGATACCTTCTTGCAATATGGAAAGCCAGCAGGCCTATGAACAATGGAGAAGGTTGGGAAACGATGAGACGTGAACTTTCGGTTCTATATAGCCGTTTCTGTGAGTATTACATCTCAACCAAAGTTTATGCAAGCTTCTCTGATTGCTGGTTCTGTTTAAATTTTTGGACCTCTTAGTCAATCTTTCATAACTATCTGCAGATGGAATCCTTTTGGGAGGCATGTTTCTTATGTACGAGTTGCATCGTTTTATGAGACCGATTATTTTCCTCATGTACTCGTTTTGGATACCTCAAATAGTCACCAACGTTATTCGCGACTCGAGAAAACCTTTGCATATATACTACATCTTAGGAATAACTATAACTCGGCTCGCCATTCCGTTGTATGTCTTCGGCTGCCCCCACAATTTCATGCGTATTCAGCCTGATAAAACTTGGTGCATCTGTTTGGGCGTCTTTACTTTTCTCCAAGTCGCCATTCTTCTTCTTCAGCACTATTTTGGATCCCGGTGGTTCATCCCTCGTCAGGTTAGGATGGACGAATATTTTGTAGCTATCATGCCGTGTTCATGGTGTATAATTATTTATCATTGGGTTTGCACGATTTTGTCGCAGATTCTACCCGAGAAATACAGCTACTACCGGAGGGTAGATCAAAATGGGAATCATACCACAGATTGTGTCATTTGCATGACTGCCATAGATGTTTCACGTCCTAACGACTGCATGGTATGCCTTTTCCCGCTCGGTTTTTCGTCGTACAATTATATGATGATGAATTCTTACTGGGTGCCTCATATCATATATAGATTACTCCATGTGATCATTTCTTCCATTCTGGTTGCTTACAAAGATGGATGGATATAAAGATGGAATGCCCGACATGTCGCCGTTTGCTGCCGCCTGTCTGATCGTACCTAGTCGTCGTCGTATCAACGTTCCTTTACGATCATCCGGCATTTCCTCGCCCCAAAAATTTTGGTATGCATAATCTTGTTCTCACTCAGGCTGAGGAACACATGGGCAGAGAGTTGAAGCAGCAATGTAGAGAGAGTTGCAAAAGGATGAGCTTCAATGAACACATCCAGTAGCTGATCTGCATTGTTTGTATAATGTATATCTTTTCTGTACATCGACACAAAATCTGTAGTTTGGTAGAGTAGAACTGACAGAATTTCTTCTTCCTCGGAGGATTCGAATTGATGCAACTTGATACAACTCGACAAGTTTAGAGTTGGTGTTCTTGTTTTGACAATGTAGAAGTTGGAGAAAGATTCGTGTCAATAAGATTGTTACAGCGATGAGGAAGAGTTTCGAGTTTAAGGTGGACGTTGAATTATGACGGCATAGATGCTATAGAAGTTAGGTGTTTGGTCATCTAATCAAGTCGAAGTTTGTTGGTCGTATGGGTTAAACTTTTTTTTTAATCTTTAAAATGAAAATTTAAATTAATGTTTTGAAAATAAATAAATATATGTTTTATCTATTAATATGTTACGTTTATTAAAAATTTTTTTTTTAATAAATACTCGAATAAATTTAAATAAAAATGAAAAATTGATCTAAAAATGAACGTACATTTACATTTAATAGACTCCATAAAATTAAATTTTTGAAAATAGGTCCACTTTTGGAATTTGCAACTAAAATGACCAATTTTCGATTTCTAAAGGAGAAGAGTTTGAAGAAAGGGAGGGCATAAATGTATTTTCACATTTAATTTAATGGGTAAAAAACACTAAATTTCAGAAATGGAAGCTAGATCCATTTTTTTGGAATCTTTCCCATCTTCCTTCTTCGTCTTCTTCTTCTTCCCTCCTTAACAAAAAAATCCTCACTGCTCGAACGCCATAAACGAAATCCTTCTCTCTTCGTGAAGTTGTCAATGCCTGCACATAAACGTTCTTGGTCAGACAGTCTTGTCGGAGAAGAGCTTAGTGACGAGCAATTCAGCCATCAAGATGCCAAGCAATGTCGAGCAGAACGACAGCCGAACACTGAAGTAGAAGAAGAAGAAGAGGAGGAGGAGCAAAAGAAACCGAAGGAGGAAGCAGAACGAGCAGAAAAGCAACACAAGCAATTGGAAGAAGGGACTGGAGCGAGAGGTTACGTCACGTCTATTGCATTTCCCTTCGTTCGCTTCGTTGTTCTGGTTCTTGTTCTTTCTTGGTTTTCCGTTTGCTGAAGCTGTTCCATGTTCTTTCAGATTCCGAAGAAAGCCAATCCTCTAGCTCTGAAGAGAAACCGGAGTACTTTCTCTTGAATCCTTCTACTTCCTTTTCTCTGCACGATTGCCATTTCGTTAGTGTTTTATTGGCCTTTCGGAGATGGATTATGGTGGTTTCTTACGACCGTTTTTCTCTCATATTGTGTTCCCTTCGTAGACAGAAAAGAATGCGTGTTTATAGAACTACTACGCTCTGTTATTCATTTCCATATTTTCCGTAAAACGGCGCGGTTGACTTCATGTTCGGCAAGTAGCTGCATGTTGGGATCCGGGTCTAGTTAATGCGTGTCGATTGCTCCTCTTGTATGATCTTTCAGTTTTTTGTATCTTGTGATGGGCTGCGAGATTTAGTTAAAGTCTCCGATTTACTATGTAGCTACAGTCCGATCCACTGAGTTGGAATGAGCGCGGTTCCTGTTCCATGACTGGCAAGTTTTATGGTGTTTGATACTTCAAGCTTTTCCACCCGTGCCATTCATAGGCAACCGCATCGGAACTTAGTTTGCATTCGTATTGTTGTTCCCGGAGCCTCTCGTTAACTTTTGTACTAACCTGCTCGACCATCTATTAGAACTTCAGAAGGCATTTTGACTTCCAATCCTGCTAGAACCCCATTATTTGTAATGTATGATCACCTTACTAACGTGGGTGGCTCATACTTCAATTACATTTGGAGCACAGAAAGAAATTAACATTCGGGTTATTCCATATGGTTCCTATGACCTTCATTTCGTAGACAAATCAGATTTGCATTCTCAAACCTTTTAGCACCAACTTCCGTAGAGGGAAAGAAAATCAGCCTTTGTGCTTGCCAATTCTTTCATTTGGTAAAAGATAGAATGTCAGATGACCTGTAAACGGCTCTAGTTTTGGGCAATGGAGTTGTCTGGATGATTTAGAGTAAGAAATGCGTTGAGTTAAAGTTTTCATGGGGACGTTGGTTATAGGAGGAATTAGTAAAGCTGATACAGTGTTGAAGAGGCTCTCATCCACGTATCTTTCTCCTGCTGCATTCTTCACAAATGCATGACAAATCTTAACCACGCTGCTATAGAAAAAAATTCATTGGGTTTTGGCCTGTTTTTTTCTATAGCCTTCTTTTGTATTAATTCTACTTCACAAAGGACGATTTTTCCTATCAAAATAAGTGAAGTATGGTTTGAAAGGATTCTTAGAATTTCCAATTTTTACTTTTATGAAACCAGGTACAAGTTCACTATATTACCAGATCTACAGCATATTGGCTAGTGTTTTGCCATTTTTTTTTGTATTCTTTTGATCATCAACAACGAGTTCTACGCAGAAATCAGGATCAATTTTTTGGAATTTTTTCCTGACATCTGGAATTTTCCGTGTAACAACCTATATGTGTACTCTCATTCTTATTAGAGATTGAGGATATTTCTAGATCGATCACTTTCCTTTTCCCCGTCATTGCTGGTAGGTAGACAAATATACTTGTCCTTACTAGAGCTTATCAACAATGTAATTATGTAAGTTGTCACAAACTAAGTCTACACTTTGAAGTTCTAATCCTGCATATTTGCGGTGCAGATTTATTTTTGTGGAGCTGTCAGGCATTCGGAAAGATGTTCAGTGCCCAATTTGTCTTGGTATGTTTGCTTTAAATTGCTCAAGTCTGTTTCTGTATGATCTTTTACCCTTGGCACTTACATTATTGGTCTCTCTGTTTTTAATAAAAATAAATAAAGAAGGACAATGGCAACAGAGATAAGTACATGATAATTGACTATTGGGTGGCATATGCGTTATGACAGATTTAGATAAATCAGCATTTGGCTTCTGTTAAGAACTAGATAGTTGTAAATAGTAACCGAAGAACTCCTTTGGCTGTTTTTATTGGATTTTTGAGGTAGACCAATTTGTAACTTTTCTGCCTTTGTTTCTTATCAATCTCGTAAAGAAACTAGCAACCTTGTTGACCTTGACAGGGATTATTAAGAAAACGCGAACTGTAATGGAATGCCTGCACCGGTTCTGTAGAGAATGCATTGACAAATCAATGCGGCTTGGGTATATAAATAAGTCCTTGTCGTTTCATACTATTCTATTTGAACTTTATTTTGGTTTCATCTGCTTGCCTTATTGTTGAGTCTATCATGTTGAACTAGAACAAGTTATATGCCTATTGAGTTCATTTATGTAATTGTGTTCGCAATTTTAGGAACAACGAATGTCCTGCTTGCCGCACGCATTGTGCCAGTAGACGTTCTTTGAGAGATGATCCAAATTATGACGCACTGATTGCCGCCCTATATCCAGATATTGATAAATATGAGGAGGAGGTGTTTGTCAATTTTTCCTCCCCTTTTTTATCCCCCCTTTTTATCCCCTTTAAAGGAAGCACTTCTTTTCTTAATTTGGTCTCAGGAATTAACATTTCACGAGGAAGAAAGGACTCGTAATAAACAGGTCAGGTTCCTTCTCAGACTACATATCTTAACGCGGAATTTTGAGATGTTATTTTTCATGGATGAGCCTTTTCTAGCTGACTTTCTGAACTGCATTACCTTTTTTTTTTTTATTGAACAAACATTTGAATTTATGCAAGTACGGAGGAATTAGACAACTGAAGGTCATAATACTGTTTGTTTTCTTTGGTCGACAATATCGATTCTGATACTAACAAGTAACAAATGTTGCCATGGAATGTCTTATTATCATTTAGTTAAACCTACCTATTACATCGTTATTTTATCAATCCTAAGACAGCCTTTTCAGTAAACGTTATGGTGCACTGATTTTGAAATTATGAGATTCTATCAGTGCATTTCAAATCCAGATACCATTTTTTTCAAGAGGGAAGAATATAGTCTTTTTGTCCAAGCATGTGTAATTTCATGTTCTGTAGTACAGATTCAGGAATCAATTGCGCAGACCTTTCAACGACAATCAGAAGCACTAAGTAAGAAGCGTATGTTGGGCAAGGATATGCCTGGTATGATTCTAACAAGATCACGTCGCAATCATAGGAATGTTCATCTAAGGAGACAAAATGGCAGAGGAGATGAACTGTTGGGATATGAAGATAATGAAGATGATGATAATAGTGAGGGCAAGGATTCATCGTCTGCTGATGAGAGATGTGCAAAAGTTAGGCAAAGGAGGAAGAAGAGGCATTCCACTGTTCGATCCTTTCAGCCTTCTTCGTCAATAGCCAGTGTAGATTATGGATTCACCGATGGATGTGCTGAAAGTGATTTAGATATGAGCAGAGAAAATCGTACAGTTTCTCCTGGTCTTGTCTTGAACTCTGAAATGCTCGGTTGGGGGCGTGGTGGTGTACGTAGTAACACACGGTATGGCAATGCTGGTGGGTTGAGCAATAAAGGTTCCAGGAGCGGTCGATTAATGAAGTTAGTCAATTACCTGCGAGGCCTTGAAGAAAATAACAATGAGGTATGGAACAATATATTGGCTATTGATTGTGAAAGAAAGGGCTGGTTTAAGTTTCAACATGGTTTAAAGCATGAAAACAGATTGATGTTTCGATATACAAAATTAACATACTATTTGATGAGTTATGTTTGATTTTTTTTTTTTAAGTACCTACTCCTTGAGTCATTCGACATATGTTACCATGTGTATTTTGATTTATTTTTTTGAAGAGTTACTACGTTGCTAGCCTATAAGTAGCAACTTGTTTCTTCATTTGGAGCTTCATTCAATTGAAGAGTTCTCCTCTCCTCTCTTCTTTTTTTTTTGATCTTGAGTTGAGAGTGAGGATCCAAGAATTCTGTCAGTTTCAAACTGTTCAGGGTTGTTGCTCTACAAGAATTAGTCGTCGTCGTATCCTATTGAGACAATCATTGCATTCTGCTTGCAACCGTGCAATACAAATAATTGTCTTCAGGATTACGTTTTGTTAGCGTGTCTCAACTACTAATTAACTTTATCTGTAGTTATTGCAATTTATAATCTTTGTTTTCCATTTGGTTTGCTTCTTGTGTTTCAAAATTATTGTTACATACAGCTTTATGGTTAATTTACACTATAATTGTTTCTAGCCAGTGAAGGTGCAATCACTTCACTAGTGTTACTTAGTTCTTATAT